AGGAAATTTAACGCGCGATCCCCCACCTGTTGCACGTAGCCACTCGATGGCTGCCTCGATGGCACCACGAGGGAGAACCACGACAATTTCCCAAAAAATCATCATAAAAATACCCTCACAATCTCACAAATTACACTAATAACCTCCCAACTGCACTGGGGGATAATGCAAGCCGAAATTCTTCGGAAAAACCCTCCACAAACCTTTTCAAAACCACCCAAAATTTGGAGGACACAACCGATGCCATTTCCATGGCTCGGAAAAATCTCACAATCGCCAATAATTTATCGGGGAGCCGCCAAAAGGGGAAACATCTTTAAATAAATCCGTAAAAACTCATCGTAGATCTTCTCGCTGCCTTCCTTTTTCGCTTCATGACCATCCTGGCTGCAGCTAATTGTCCTGGTGTCCTGGGTGGTGCACTGTATCACTCTCGTCACGTCCTGGGAGCTCCACTTCACTCACGTGCGTATTTTCTCGCGACTAATGCGCAACTAATTTTCCGATGTCAGTGTCGCCTGACGCTGACCCCCTAAGCACGCCTACCAATCGATCGGCTGTCGATTGGTGGATCCCTCTACCTTATTTTGGGTGAAACCCTTCGCGGGAAAATTAATTCAAATTCGAATTAATTCTCATTACGATTACGATACAATTTGTCCATCCGCTGTATTTTTTTCTCGAGAGATTCTCCTGGATTCTTGGGGTTAGAAGACCTAAATCACTAACCTTAAACGTAATATTTTATCTCCCTAACCCGTAAATTTATTTATTTATTGGCACTTCGCTGAGGTAAGGGCTGGATTTACCCCGTGCGGCCTTCCATCCGTAATTAAACCTAATGTTTTTGGCACTCCGTCGGGATGAGGGTTGGCTCTATCCTAGACGGCCTTCCACCCGTAGCAGCCCGTGGTAATCCGTAGGAGTATTTTTCGTGTCCCCATACGGCTTTCCACCCGTACCAAGCAACCCCCCAGAATCCTTTCATTTGGAGCGCCAGCCTTTTGACCGGACCTAAAATAAACTCGGGCTTGACCCAAACCTTACCCCTAAAATCCATAAACCACCCCGAGGGGGGAAATTAATCATTATCCTAACCTACGCGTAAATTTTTCCTCTTGCTCTCACTCTCTCTTTATTAACTTTATTGGGGATAATAACGGGCATCGCCAATGCTCGTTACAATGTCTTTTATTTTTTTGACGATGTCAGAGAACTCTTTTCTCTTCCTTCAATCCGATTAATTCAATTTTCTTACAAATATGCCCTATTCCAAATTGCTCATTCTCTCCATCGATTTGATTTACGAGTCCCTTGAAGCGTACACATAATTCAACCAAGATAAATTTATCAGCTCATTTTCTGTTGCTTTCTCAACATCAATCCCCATCGAATGCCAACTTCATCGCGAAAACATAATAGATCATGATTGCCATTAATAAACTACGGAATATGAATTTTATTTATCGCGCTGTATGTTCTTCAATTTTCACGGGGAATAAGTAATAATTACGTTAAAGGGAAACGAATATCCCACTTGCAAACACAACTAAAGGTTATATCTGTAGAATGTTGCGTGAATTCATTCTATAGATTACAATGGAGGATGAAACCTGGAAGAGCATGAGAACAACATGAGATTTTGGAAGTACCTCCTAATTTTTTTACGTTTTGGCACATTGGATACTGAGATCCTTCTTTTCGATTCATTTCACCTGAATGAAGATTAGCCTTGAGATCTGAGTAATGGCGTTGGTTCTATCTAGCAATTGAAGACTGTAATAACGAGGTGAAGATTGTGAAAAGATCAACTGAGCTGATCCGAGTCAGTAGAAAAAATCTCTAACGGGAAATAATTGAATGATCTGAAATTTTTGTATAAGTTATTGTTATATTTAGAATTATTTTAATGATTTTTACTGATAAGGTAAGCGTAATTAAGCTTTTGTCTTTGCGCTGGCTTTGATTGGGCACGGAGCTTAACATCAATTTTTCATTCTTGAAATTTGTTAAACAAGGAACAAGTTTTTACGAACGAGCGAATGACGCCATTTTAATGTATTGTTAGATTTCCTGACTTAGCTTGGCCCCTTGTTATGTAGATTCCTTTTTCCAGGCAGGAAGTCGAATTGAATCTTCAACTACATATGACATGATCATTTCATTATATTCGGATACTCTATTTAAGTTCAGAGATTATCCTGTGATTTACAATGATACATTTTAATCCTCGATTTGCGACCGTTGCGTCAATAATTGTAATTTATGAGTTACCCAAAGCATTAAAGCCACCTCGTAACAATCGTTGATTTCATTCTATAGTAAATGTGTTCTAATAGTCATTTTGCTAGTTGATTTTATTGTACTGTTCGACTTTTATTTGGTGATGTCAAAGATTGTTTCTTACTTCGATCACGTAATTCGACTAGCTTTTTCTTGTTCGCTGATCTCGGGTTGAATCATTGATTCTTTATTGATTCGTATATTGTAAATTCTCTTCGTGAATTTCATTAATACTTTCATGGTTATATATTAAGAATGTGCCGGGATTCAGCTTATCACAAGTGAGTTCATTTTTACTTATCTGCATCAAATTTTTTATTTTAATTTTTCAATTTTTAATCGAATTTATTGTATTATTTCATTTGTATTTTTGCATTTGAATTATTTCTGATTTGTTTGCCATCATAAAATTGAACTCAGGTGGGGAGTAATTGTGAAGCCACAACCCTCGCAGCTGCGCGGATGACGCTGTTGGTTTTAGTGAATTTGTAGTTTGGTTTTTGGAAGTTTTAGGAGAAAATGTTCTGGCATCCAACTTCAATCATTTCGCTTGGTTATTTTTGTAGCGAAGAGGTGCGTCTCTCTGTCTTTCCTTCAACGAAGCAGCGAAATACGTCATAATCCATATACGCTAGGTCTCAGTCTAATTTTCGGATCGGCGGTTCAGAATACGGATTTGAAATAGTAATTTGTGCTACAAAAGCTGAAAAGCATTATGGGAGCGTATTCCATTCGAGTCCCTGGCCAAGACTTATTCCGCGGCCCGACCGAGTGAGCATTGTTATTACCTTAGGGAGGTAGGTAAAAAGGAAAGCGATAAACGGTCGCTTACTTCCCTAAGGTAATAAAAGTATTAGGTTATGGCAGAACGAGTCTCATAAATTGACAAAACCCATACGCTACCGCGGATCTCGCTATTTCAATAACTGAAATGAAAGAGAGATGGGCAAAGAAAAAAATGGTGAAATACGTGGATCTGCATGAGCGCCGAAAATTCATTAATTTTACGGGTGGAAAGTGAAAATAATTTCCTAACTTTTATTGCATACACTCCAAATGTTCACTCATCGACTTGCACCCCTAGGTGTAATGATCTAATTGTACAATGAATCATATAAAAACTAATAGAAATTAATAACAAATAAGTTCATCAGTCAAATAGTTTTGATCAATTAATTGATAATAATTCATTCTTCGCAATTTTTTTCATTTTTGAGGGCTGTCGAACCTCAAGGGAGGTTTTTGGGATATATTCTCAAATACCGGGATCTGGTTTGATGAAACCAGACTGAGGTTTACCAATCGTTATTAATTATCATCAATAAAATTCGATTTATTTATTTATCCTTCTGTATCACAAATAACCTTAGATCTATCAAATTTCGTAACCGTCTACCAACCGAGTAATTTTTCTTGGCGGAATACTCGGTTCAAACTGAGAACAACTCCTGTTCTATCCTCGTCTAACGTAAAATCGGCTGTCTCCATGAGCGTTCGTACTCAGGTTATGTACTAAATATGTAGCAGTATTAATGACATGCTATTTAAATCAGAATTAAAAGGAAAACTAGAAATAATAGCTCTCACCTCATTCTTCTATTATATTTATTCTCATTAATTCATTCTTTGATCAATAATTCCCACGATGGTATAGCTGTAAGACAGTCAATTAACCATTAAATTTCGCGGTGAAAAAAACTCGAATAAATATTTTAACAGTTTTTTAGCGTTTGTATCATGTAAAGCGAGTGTTATATGGATTTCCCTGAAAAAAATAAACTGTTAGCCGTTTTTTTAGATGCTTTATGTATGCCATCATTTCATTCTAGTTTATAAATTTTCTGATCCTTATACATAGTATCGGGAAATATCGCTATGCCTATGAGAAGCCTATGAGAAGTTATACATATCTCCACAAATAAATGTAGATGAAATATTGCTACTTGCTTCCCTTGTAATATAATAATATTGATTAATGGCTTGCCTCTACATAAAATATTGCTGCTGCATATTTTTCATTATGAACAATTAATTTTTGGATTCAGATGTAATCTATTAATTAATTCTAGCGAGAAAAACTGATTCAAACGGCAATTAACCTATCAACTACCTTGGTATAACAGTCTAATTTTTACCAATTTTAGGATAAAAAAGATGGAAGTAAAAATATGCAATTTGCCAGCTTTGTTCTGATTAATATGAACGTAACGGATCGACTACAGAAAACAATACAAACAAATGGGAAGCTGGTGTAAACCAGATATTGCTTGATCATTTTCTAAATAAAATGAACTCTAACTATAAAAAAATTCGCGTTAGTATTGCTAAGAAGAATAGGTCTTAGTTTTCGGAATTTGAAAAAAAAAATTCCATAAATTTTATAATCATTGTTTCAAACTTCATCATTTCTCGTTTTCCATTAAATAATAAAAGTAATTTCCATCATCATAATATCAGTTATTGTGGATTTAAAATTATGATATTCAGAAATTAGAGTTCCATAGGGTCGAGATCATTCTCACATTGTGAATGTGATATATATCACTTGTTAACCTTAAAATTGCTTCGGCTAAAAAAATTTTAAGAATCAGTGGGACTGACTAACACAATCGAATTAAGTAAAATTATTTCCAAAGGTTGCAAAGATTGAATGCTACTGATCCACATGCGTCAGGTTAAAATTGTACACTTTTGAATGGTTTTGTGGTAATTCTTACCCACGTGGACTTCGTCATCATCGCTGAGTGGAGCATCCAGGTAAATTCGTTTTGCATTTTCTCCGAATTGATCTTCTCTTTTATCTTCATGCCTTTTCATTCTATTAATATTGGAGTGACAGCTTTTCCTCTTCTCTTGCTGTTTCCCGTGGCAAGAATTGCTTTGTCCCTTTGTGTTTGTAGGAATGACGTTTATTTGTTTTTTCATTTAATTTCAAAGTGAATATAGCTCTACATAGAAAATTCGATTTACACATAAGCAGCGTGCTCATTGAATTTTTTTCCAATTTTTTGTCATTGTAAATTTTATAAATCGTGTACGTTAGATTTCGTTGAATGACCGTAAAGTTTTGATCAAGTCCGACTTTTTTATCCTTCCTTCTCCAGCCCCTATGGTATTTTTCGAGCTCCGTTCAGTAAATTCATTCGTCGAAACGAGTGACAAATCTGAATGTATAAACGTAAGTGAATTTGAGAATGCCTTGATTTATCGGAAAAATTTCACATTCTTGTTCGCGATTCCAGGGATAGGCTAAAGTTTTACAATCGTTGAATAATCCTGCACTACAGAGTAATTTACGCATCGAAGAAGTACAGAAAAAGTTATTGTTGTGCCAAAAAATTTTCATTTGATAATTTTAAATGAAGAAAATAACACAATACAAATTCCCTTTGGTCGGCTTGCACACAGAGTACAAAATATACTGAAGCCGTTATTTATTGGAACTGTAGGACGTTTCCATGAACCAATTTCTTTCCATCATAGGAGCAACATTTAAATTATTTCGGTTCAATTAATGTTTTAACTATGTATGGACAAAAACAGACAACGGGTGAAGTTTATATTTTGTTATTCAGCCATTTCGAGAAAATATTTTGAAATTTTTGAGCGTAGGAAAAATGAACGAAGTGAGAAGTATTTTGAGGTTTTGGGGTATTTATTGCTTTTCAAGCCGCAGCTCTGGTAAGTAAAATTCGCCCGGCAGTGCGTGTCAAGGTGAAACCTCGCTTACGCCCAGGTGAGAATGATCTAGCCTGACGGTTGAAAGAGCATCGGTTCAAGATAGATCATCGAGGCTACGCCGTCCTAGTTTCAACCTAGCTTCATTCGGTCGTTAAATTACATATTGATCCGAGTCTGGATGCCAAGGTTTAAACGAGTCTTGTTTGAAGATTGATGCAGAGTTGATGTACCATGCTGGATCATGCAGCCTGTAAACTATCTTCATTCCATTTTTAATTCAATACTCGATGTAAATCTTGGTAGTCGCATTATTTTCTGATCGATCCGCACGTATTATTTTGTAACGTCTTGATCCACGGACTGAAAAAATAATTGACAATTCATTTCCGAAGCGGCTCCTCTGGAGTCTTATAGCTATCCTGCATGCTTAACAAACGGTAGGTATTGAGAAACAATTTTCAGATTCACATTTTCCGATGAAACATTCGAGTTTTTCTTCTTTCTAAAATTCATCAAAAAGTATTTATGTGAAGAACTTCAACCGAGAGAGTAAATTTATGGATTTCGGACATCATCTTGGAGTTCACGAGAAGGTGATTCTTTCATTATCAATTTCTTGTTATCACTCAATCTTTTAATTCATTACATCAAATCGATTAGATTTATTCTCGATATGAGAACAAATCGCTATTCGCATTGTGGGGACATTAAAGTGTATGTGTTCGAGTGACAGGTGCTTCCTAACCTCCAAAGTCAAACGTCAAGTGACAAGCAATCGTGATACCGGATAAATAATAAATTACAAAAATATTCCATCATGGATTTTTTCAAAAAAATGCCGCTTACAGACAGAGGAAAGCGAGATATCTGAGAAGAAATGAAGAAGTCAGTGATGAAGAGGACTCCGTTGGTGGGAATGAGCATGAGCAATTTGGACAGAGTTCACATGCGGGAAATTCTGAAAAAGTGGTCGATTCATAATATTACTGAAGACATGTGTAGTGACGAAGTTATTAAAAACTCTGAAGGAAACCGGCTATCCAGAATTGCCATCAAGTGCAGCGACTCTCATGGGTTTTTCTCATTTTATCAAGAGCATTCCCATATTGTTCGAAACTAATCAGATTGGGCATTTCATCTACCTAGGAATAAAGAATGGCCTAGAAAAGAGCATCCAACTGAAGTTTTCGAAGAAGATGAAATCAAAATTCTTGTGCATATTGATGGGATGACTGTGTATTCCAACACAACTGGATTATTGTGGTCAATACTCATAAAACCCTACCACAAAAATCATGTATGCCCACCGTTTGTCGCTGCTCTTTATTATGGTGCTTCAAAACCGAGGAAGGTTTTTTCGTATTTGAAGGATTTTGTCGACGAAGCAAGAGTTTTGATTAATGAGGGAGTGAAAATTGGAGATAAGTCATATGCATTTCAAATTGTGGGGGTCATTGGCGATGGACCAGCGCGAGCCTTTATCAAGTGCATCAAGGGTCCTACTGGTTTTTCGGCTTGTGAACGTTGCACGGTACATGATGAAACCATCAACAAGAGACGTGTCTATCCACATATGGATGTTAAGAAAAGGACGAAAGAATCATTCATTTTCCGAAGGGACAAAAAACATCAGCCTCAAACTGAACAAACACCCCTATTAAAAATTCCAGGATTTGATCCCATAAGAGATGTACCACAGGAGGCAATGCATTTACTCTTCCTCAATCTCATGAAGAATTTACTTACGAAATGGCTAGATCGGAGTAGCAAATATAGAATATCCATGCAAAAAGTACAACATTTGAAGAAATTAATGGTGGAGATATCTCCAAGGGTGCCAGTCGAATTCCAGCGAAAAAACTTCGACATTGATCATTTTTCTCGGTGGAAAGTCACGCAATTGTCCTTTATACTATTGTATGCTGGACTAATTCTACTAGAGGATGTCTTACCGAAAGATTTATATAATCATTTTCTACTTCTACATGCTGGATGCCGAATTATATGCAGCTCTGAACTGGCGGTACCTCACTGTGATACAGCGGACCGCTTCTTATGAAAATTCGTTATGCTGATGCCAACGTTTTATGAAAGGGATTCCCAGGTGTTGAATGTCCACAGCATCATACACCCAGTCGTTCCTATTCAAGAAAGCACAACCACATAAATTAAGTTAGCTACGTAAGACATTTGTTAACTTCATACGTAAGACTTTTTCCTGATTGGTCGTTCGGGTTTGGTTGTTCGGGTTCATAATGGAAAAAATCGAAGAAAAGAATGGAGATATCATTTCTGACTGTCTCCTCGTTCAATTAGAGACATCTACAGTTCAGTGCATCGATCTCTGTCATCGAATGATTGATGAGACCTCTATGGTCAAATTCGCGCCGGAAATATTGAAATTCGGTCTTTTTCGGTTAGATCGCCTACGATTAACATCTTCGTGTGACAAGACAATTTTTTAATCGAAGTGTAAAAATGGAATCAGAAGATATCCTGTGGACTGAAAATGAGGAAATTGCGAGTTATGAGGCGGGCAACACAATGATGTAAGTGTTTTTCTATTCTATGTATAATCAAGATAAAATTTCGATCTTTAACATATCTCTAACCTATGACGCCACGAGTCTGATCCCATGTGATCCATTTTGAAAAATCTATTGATTTTCTCAAACGATTTTAATTAGTTTCACCTAATTATGTTTACATAATTTTTGATAAATTAAATGTACCGAAAAATAGATTTTTATAATAATATATTAATAATTTTATTTTTTATCCATAAAATAGGAATGTTTAACCTCTCAGAAGTTACAAGAAAAACCACGTATTTCATATCGCATAGATCGATCTTTATAATTTTATTTTAGACGAAAAAAAAATTCATTTTCTTTTTATTGTATTAATTCGTAAAATGATTAAATAATGAAATGAATCAAGTAACAGTGATAATTTTGATAATGGGAAAAAATAACAAGATGTTCCTATCCATTTTACCCCACCCTTCCCTATACAGGGTGTCCCAGAAGTACGTGCCGATAATTAACCGGCATGTACAGCGGGTGAGTCTGACCCAAAAAGTCCTTTACCACTTTTGGATCGGAAGCACCCCTCCAGAGATACTGGGGTAAACAGGACAGCCAATGACGCTGCCGCGTTAAGCGGCAGTACGTCGGTGTGGCTGTCGC